TTGTCCCAACTATACCTGGATTACCATGTATTGAAATAAGATAAAGTACCTTGTTTCAAAGTCTACTTGAAATAACAATGTAAAGAAAAAGAAAACTACAATATTGTTGCTTGTGTCGGTACTGAAAATCATTAACACAAAGGATATGGTATTTTGAAGTGTCTGACGAGTGGACACGAAGGGAGATCCAAAAAGTACCTACCCTAGAGCTCATAAGAATGAAGTTTTAATATTTAGTAAAATATTGCTTGTTCTATCAAAAACGTTGGTAGTAGGAGGAACAGTGATAAAAATGTTTTTGATATATTGTAAATACGTAGTCACAGAATAAAATAATAGGTATAGTTTTCTAAAAGTCACGACTTTTCGAGTAAAAAGTTTGGTTCACAACATTCATTCGTAGGTCTTTTTTACTTTTTATTAACTTATGGTTAATTAGTATTTTTCGGGGACTCTAGTCATAGCTATTATTTTCCGTAAACTTGCCGTTGAAACCGATCTTTAAAATTACAGAATATTTTGGTCTGAAGTTTACATCGCTACATATTAATATCGTAAAACCTTTAAAAAGTAAAGTAAACAGCCTTTAAACGTTCCACTGTTGTTTACCACAGGCCTCACATTTTTGAGTGAAAATAACTTTGAATGAAGATTCTTTTTATGTTTATCGATAAATTATATTTAAAAAAAAATTATCCTTAATTTTATTGAACATTTTGTATACATACAATAAACAGAAATGGGCCCTCAAACCAAACCAAACCAAAATATTACGTGACATATTATGTATATAAACATATTTATCTAACAATATATTTTTGTTTATCCGGTATGTTTTATCTACACAAATAAATAATTGAAGAATAAGCGACATTTTGCGAAATAATATCACTTGATTTTAGTACTAATCATTATATTTTGGCTAGACAAAAATACATTTGTGTAAGGATGAGGAACACTTAAAATTGTCATCATCTTTCGGTATAAAAGGGGTCTATTAAAAGTCTACTGCTGTACATAGGCCTCATCCCAAAAATTGATTCAGTGGGGATATTTGCCATAGCTGCAGTGTTTGGCATGCGGGTCGATGACCGCAGTATTTTATTTTGAGTCCGAAGATGCTGCTGTTACATCGTCTTCTCAATTATATCATCGAATATCGAAGACCGATATTCCCAAAATGTTTAGTTTTATCAATTACCACTAAATCTACACATTATTCTACTTAAGGCTGATTTTATCCATCAAATAAATTACCTGACTGAATAATAAAGTGAAAAAGCAACATTTTATTCATTAAAATTCTAATATTTAATTTCTTTGTTGTATTTAGTTGTGTTTACCTTACGAATAAATTTATTAAAATCTAAGGGCTAGAAAAATTGGCCCTTAAAGGCAATGATTTGTTGTATGGAATTCAAGCTATCATTTTTAACCTCTTAGCTTTTCAAATTTTTCTTGCATTATCTATATCAGTTTTAGTTAAATACCTTTATTAAAATGATGGACAAGCTATTATTTTACCCATTCCGAAAGCGAATGGTTAACGATAAATAAGTAACGGCTGACCATTGTTCAGGAATTAAATATTTTGAAAATAACGAAAACTTAATAGTCAAAAGGCTACCAACAACTTTCGTACGAATATGTTGGATTTATCATTCCTTTGAGTTTTTACGATGCTTTACATCCAGTTTAAGGATATAGGTACCCAAACAGTCCAAACAAGAGTTCCGATATATTGGAATTTATATACCGTGTATTGAGAATAGAGTTAGTCTTCATTTTTTTTTCGATATTTTACGGAAGTTGCAGTTGTTATTCGGACGGTACCCAAGTACCCAAAGAGCTTGACAAATTTTAAGTAAACCCTGTTTTTCATTGGGAAATTCTACACATAATCGCCTTGCGGGACGGCTTGTGCCTATGGGTTAGGCTTAGGTAGGACTCGCGTTGCGTTCCACTTTGTCGCATATAAGCAAGGACGAGGGGACAAAGGATATAAAGAGAGACGTATCGCCAAACCGCGATACCTCTTTCCCCGCGTCTCTCGACCAAGGCTTCGGCGGGTAGAGATGTGAGCTCGGTTGGCGGAATGCTAAACCCAGTTGGAGCTCATGTGGTCTGGTGCTGAGGTCATGGGGGTTCCTCTTCGCTCATCGTGTGAACAAGTCACTACTAATAAGCCCCGTTAAGGCGGAAACCCATTCGAAGTTGGGTTGAGGATGGGGAGTGGAGGTGAATGTTACACGAGTAAACCTGGTTTATCAAAGTCGTTTAGTTATATATATCCATATACTCGCGTTTAGAACTTGAAATTTAAACAAGCTTTTTCGCTCCGCGGGTCCAAGTTGTAACATCCACAGTCATGATGCCGCTTATTATGATAATGATCGCAGATTACAAGTTAGATTTAGGCATTTAATAATCAACTAAGACCTAAAACAATCGTGTAGTATTTCATCATGTAATTATGAAATCGCTCCGTAAAATAGTTTTATAAAAACTGTAACACCCTCTTGAGCTTTGAATTTTCCAAAATATTTTCTTAGTGGATGCCTATCGCATCTAAATTCGAGTCAGTCGGCCTATTAAATATAAAGTTTCATATAAACTAAAAACAACCTATATCATGCCTTTAGGGGTTGAATTTTCAAAAATCCTTTCTTATTGGATGCCTACGTCATAAATCAGATTTTAATGTCAAGCGGTCTGGGCTGCGCGTTGATAGATGAGTCATTCACTTAGGACATCCTCTTTTATACAGGGTTATTTTGCAATAACCGGCCAAATTTGCAGAGCAGGTTCAGAATAAGTAATTTAGGCAAATGGTGAAGAAAAATTAATTTTAAAAAATCAATAATTATGTCCTTTTTATCTTTTAAATTCGAAATGCGTGGTACTTAATGCATTATTTTAACTGATTTTACTACTGCGCACGCTCACATTCGTAAGGTTTGATCGGTAGGCAAAAACGTTGCTGCCCATAAATCCCATTCACTTTGGGATAATTTCAAATAAAAGTAGAAGCCTTATTTACTCGTAATTTCAAAAACTGCAATAATGGTATATTTATATATTTGGACTTAAGTTTAAAATTTTGCTACATTTAGAAAAGTAACCCTGTATATACTTCTTTTAGAAGATTGAGAGAAAGCATCTTAAAAATGTGATGAAAGAAAGAGAAGGATGATTCACTGAACCCTCGTTTCACGCACCGCGATCCGTACTTCTCCGCCCCGGCTTCGCACGGGTGATCTGGTCCTCGACGGTCTCGAACAGCGCCACCTACCGGGTCCAATTGTGAATCGTTTAGATCATCCAGACTCAAACACACGAAAATTTTTCATCAAAACCGGTCCAGCCATTTTCGAAATTAACCCACACCAATTGATTTTTATGTATAGAGATTTGTTTTAAAAATGGAAATCAGATATATTACGTTAAAAATAATACTGAAAAATTGCTTTTAAGGCAATCAACAAGACAACTAGTATCTCAGTCAAATGAATCTGCAATCATAGTGGTGTTTTCCATTCATAATTCATTACACGGACACACTTAGACTCAGAATTATTTGTGGGTCATACAAATACGTAGGTACTTTCTCTACATACGGTAATTGAACCCGCTACCAAATAGCTAGCCGCTACTGTATCGAAGTATCTAACATTATATGCAAGAAAAGCGTTATTAATCACCTTTAGAGAAACATTCCAAAAATAGCCGACCCCTGGGTTTTAAATCCCAAAACAAATACTTGATGGAAGAGAATTTTTATCACACGTACATATTGGTAAGAAAAAAATTATTGTTATAAAAATATTTGCTTTTGCAACGAATGCAATATGTATTGTTGTATAAGAATCTATTAATGACTTTTAATTACAAAAAAATAACTTCAGTAATATTTGTGTATAGTTTTCAGTTGTAGCTCACTAGTGAATATTTTTCTTTTCGGGTTTTATTAGTAGCACACCAAGGTTTGCAAAAATATTTGTAATGTGCTCCGGTGAGAATGTAAAATGTATAAGCTCTCAATCTGCTGACCGTATTGTTATGGTTTGGGCAGACTTCGCTTCGTAATATATCTTTAGCCTTAGTCTAGTCTTGTCTTATAAATAGGTTCTTTTATAAAATTGAAGTTTGCAGTCCACCTAATGGTAAGTGGATACTGCAGGCAATAGACACCTGCAACGATCTTAAATAAAGAAGTCTACAGATGCGTAGTCACCACTGAGGACTGAGATGGAATGCCTCACAGCTTGTAGTTATACTGGCTCCGTACCCTTAACACCTATACACGTACTGTTGTTTGGCGGCGGAAATAAGAGGCTGTCACCTACAGACAGATTTCTACTAGTATTTGTATTTTATATTATGTAGAATATTCAAGACTTGCACTTTATAGCTCGCTCAATTGAAATCTGGTTTATTAATTCCATTTAACATGTCCCGATTTTAATAAGCTTGTTTATTTCGTAAAATTGGAAAATTAAACATTATATATTAAATATAATAAAATAATCTCTATATTATAGCTTCGAAAGTCTGTGCTTGACTGTATAGAAGAATCTAAAAAAATAGCTTCTAGTAAGGCTAGGCTAACCCTTACGAAAAACTTAAGAAGCTATTACGTAGAGATTATTTTATAATTTTTAGTTCTTTGAAGAGCTTTTCATTTCTTTTCATTAAAAGTTTAGTTTTTTGACCCTTTTGAATAGACTAAGCGATAACACCATCTCAGTATTACGTCTAAATAGTTATATTAAAAAATTATATCCTATTTTTCCACCCTTAGGGGTGAAATTTTTTATTCAAATTAATTTATACAAGACCCTATTTAATAAAAAAAAATAATCATTACCCAAAACAAATGAAAAAGATAATGTCACGTAACATACTTATTAAAAAAGGTCGAATGATAACCTCTTCCTTATTTGTAGTCTGCTATAAAAATGTAAATGGGAAAAAAACAATTTTTGTCTGAATATATTTACGACTTCAATTATCACTTGTTTCAAAAGTGCTGTTCCCTATGAGTCTATCATTTATAATCGCTTGTTTAAGGATTTGCTTATCTCAAAATTATAAAGCAGTATTATAATTTTTAAAGTGTGAAAGCTATTAGTTTGCTTAAATGATTTTCTTTGCTTATCGGTTAAGTAGTAAGTTATGCGACATCCGATATCTTAATGGCTATAACGCGCAGGCATTTTTTTACTTCCACGTTCAAAAAATAATTTCACATTACTTTCCGTTTTACAGTACAAAGTGCGCAAAAATATTTTTTTTATGCGCCACCGTACATTACCGAAGCGATTATTTCTAATATAATAATTTAAAATTTTGTACAGCCGACTTTAATATAAGTTATTAAAATAACTCAAAAACTATTGGTCTGACCTTGATCAAATTCATATGGGACCACACGAGAAGTACCAGCTTTCAAATAAAAGAAATATTATCGAAATCGGTTCACCCAGTAAAAAGATAGTCGAATTGAGTACCGTCTCCTTTTTGGAAGTCTGCAGAAAACTGACGAAACCGGTCTTATTGGTGGACGAAACGAATGTTGAGAAAAGGAACCGCGCATTAGTGATCATAGTACCAGACTGCTAGCTTCGAGTAATGGGTTGTTGTTCGCATTAGTGGAAAATACCAATTGTTAGTTTTCGGTTTTGGATGTGATTACACGTGTGATTGACACTGCATTCGAGACTACTTTGGGTCTTATTGCTCAAATGTTACAACTTATATGGATATGTTACGAATGAGTGCCTCTGATATTATTCTGTGAACAATCATCATAGTCTGACATCTTAGTAGGTATTATTTTTATAATTGTAATTAAGATATTTTTAATGAAATTTATGTCCAAAAATAGTTTCCAAACTAAATAACGTAAAAAAAGACTTCGAAGTATATGTAACCACTTCTTGATAGTTCACAACCAATTATTATAGTGACCAAAGTTTTACCTACCTAGTGATCTCGGGCCTATATTTGAATACCAGTTATCATGTATTATTTTACGGGTTTATTGCACTGCACACGAACCGTCCCTGGTTCTTTTCGAAATAATAACATCAAGTACATACGAGAAGGTGGAAATAACAAAAAGCGAATGCAGACTCTTAAGATATTAATTCTTACAATATTGTATTTGCTGCATCGGTTAAAATTTCCAGTTGTGTAATTAGAAGATCAAGATAAGGGCTGAAGGACAATCATCGTCAATAAAAAATATTGAATATTAAATTGGTCGGTAAACGACCAACTTCAAATAAGTTGTATTATATGTATGTATATATATATTCGCCGACAAACTGATTGGCAGTTTGGCGAGAGAATAGTAAAAATAATGTACTTACCTTTGCATGAATAAATAAATTCATTATTAAACATACATTCAATGAAATATAATACCTACATATAAATAGGACGTATACTCATTTAAGAAGGTTACTTATTTATGACTACGCTTCGTGTTAAGATTTACTTTTTACACGGCAGTGAAAGTAAACGTAGACGAAATTACCATGGAAATTGTTTAGCATAGGAAAAATTTTTAGAAGTACGACAGTAGCCTAGTGATAGGATGCAGACTGAGAACTTGAAGAGTTGTGGGTTCGAATCCGCTCTTAACACAAGAATCTCCAAAAATTAAACGAGTAGTTAACGGAAGTATTACTGACCTGTTCATAGAATAACTAGTATTCTTGTTGTTTTTAAATAAAATTGTGGTTGTAATTTGTTTATGTAAAATTCTTAAAAGTGATACATGTATGTTCGTAATATTTTTAGGTAGGGACTAAACGTATGTACTTAACATTTTCAAACAAGTACTTATTACAAAATTTGTCGTTTACAGCTCAATTAGTACATTAGTACATTATAAGGTTATAATTACAAGCGTAATGATGAACCCGTTATTATACATTTTAGGCTTTTTTGTAAACTATTTAAGATATATTTTCATTTAAGTACTATTTTCAGTAGTTAGTAATTGTATTTTTTTTGTTACAGCCATGATGCTACTCGAAAGTGATATGTTTATGGATGCACTCAATGCGTCAGCTACAAATAAAAAAGAGCCTAAGAAAAGGAAACGACGAATAAGCGGGTCTAAAGATGGAAATGCGCCAAACGAAACTTCTCCACCTGTAACACCAACTAGCATTACAAGTCCCAATAGCGAAAATAAATCGGTGCCTCCAAGATTCTATCAAGATACATTAGATACTGAGGAGAATAAGCAAATCGTGAGTGAGAAAACTTCTGAAAGCAGTGAAGTTACAGAAAATGATAAGGACCCTGAAAAGGAAGAGCAAGAAAAAATGGAAATTTCTGAACCACATACTGTGACAGTTAACGGATTAAGAGGTGTCCTTTGTTATCACAAAAGAAAAGGTCCCAAGAAAAGCATAAAATGGAAACCTGATCCCGAATTGGAAGAAATCCAGTACTTTGAACTTGATGAAACTGAACGTGTTAATGTGACTAAAACATTTACAGATATGAAACATTTGGAAAGGATTCATGAACGGGAAGCTTTTCAGAAGGCAAGAAATCTCAGTAACGATGACGTAATGGAAGAAAGAACGAGTTGGAAACCACTAATTCCGATTGACCTGGATGGTCAAATACAAGTTGAATACGGTAAAAATAGCAAAGAGAAGGACATACAGGCAATAAGACAGAAGGGAACATTACAACCACTTTACTTCCACAAATCAATGATTCCTGATTCACCATTGGAACCTGAACCTGAAACCCACCCTTACTCAGAACCAACGGTTATACCATTAGATGATGTTACAGGAAATCAAGATAATATAAGTGACTTTCGCAATATGCCTTGGCCTGAACCTAAAGGCAATGCACCACCAACATCCAATAGTAACATGAATGTACCTTCGATATTTCCTCCCGCTATGGCGCAGTTTCCTACCAGCTTTCCTGGACCACAATTTCCTGGTGGACCTCCAGGATTTCCAGGGTCTCCGATGGTGCCTGGTGAGTGGCAAAATGGAGTTCCACCGCATATGATGCCAAATGGTATTCCTGGTCCAATGCCAGCTCCAGGTCTCACTCCTCCGGGACCCATCCCACCGAATAATATGCCTCCTGGAATTATGGTACCGCCGGAAAATATGATGATGAGTCCAGATATGTTTGGTCCTCCCAATCCTATGTTTCCTGTACCACCCGAGGGATTCAATATGCAACAAAATATGTTTCCTATGGACTTTAATATGCCAGGGCCACAAGGGCCACAGGGTCCACCTGGCCCGGATGGATTTGCCGGCCCTGGAAACTTTCGAGGTGCCATGCGGGGTCGTGGTGCTGGAGGACATTGGAGAGGTAAAAGTGGTGGAAACTGGGATGGCCCACCACGAGGGCGGGGAGGGCATGCCCGAAGCGGCAGAAAAGTTGTTTGCATATATTTCCAAAGAAAGGGTTCGTGTCGACAAGGCGATAACTGTTCTTTTTTGCATCCTGGCGTAAATTGTCCATATTAGATTTTAAAAAATGCAATGAAGTTGTATATATGTAAATTTTAAAATAGTGTAAGGCCTGGTCCAAAAGACTGTTACTTGTAAATACAAATGTAAATATTGTAAAAAATACTTTATACGAAATTGGTGCAAGTAAACAAATTATAAAAAAAAATAGTTTTTTTTCTCCTAATATTACTGTAATGAATCACTGATAGTCACGAACTCAGACCAACTTGAAGATAAGACGTACATTTCAAGTGATTCACCATGCCCAACTTCTAGTAAGAAAAATAACCTGCACTCAAGCACACATACACCTAAAACCACCTGCTCTATTTCCTCCAGTTTCTGTTCGACATTTTAAAGTAAGTAAATATAGACTGAAAAAAAACTGCTTGAGACGTAGAACAGTATAAAGATATGTATATAATACTACATCAATCAAAAAAATCACTTATTTCACCATTACGCCATGGACGCATTACGCTTCAATCAATATTTAAGTGAATCATCTTTTTATGTTTTAAAATCAATAAGTTTTAGCCGTCTTGGAAAACAAAACCTTTTATTAATTTGCCAGAAATTTTCTTTTTTTTTTCTTTGGCAATGGACTGGTACTGTTGCTAGTCTGCCTGATACGGAAAAAGGCGGCTAAGTGCATGTTGCCAATTTCGAGCTTTCAGCAACATTAAGCTAACCAATAAATTCTTTATCGGCCAATATGGGAATTATATTTTTACGTTTGATGGTTCCAGCTTCGACAATTCAACCAAAGGAGGGGAGTAATGCGCATAATGCCAAAAAGAACATTTGGTGCGGGGCGAGGAAATACTACATAGACTACTGCACACCTACTCAACAAAATGTGTCATTATGGCACCCCATTCCCCCCCTCCCCAGCCTATGAATTTGGAGTATATACTTAAAAAAATACTGGCAGACGTATTTTAAATAACACATCTCAAAAATATTATTTATTATTTAAACTGCACCCATGTAGTTTAGAAATAAAAAATAGTTAAGGATCGTTCACCTTATAACGTCGATATTACTTCAAATAATTAGAATTGAGTACTTTTTACAGTATAAAAAAACTGCACCTTGCTTGAATATAATTGCACCATCGTTAAAAATGCATTAAATGCAATAATAAACACAAAAAGTTGATAAAACCAAATTTCTCAAGTGTCGAATGCACCCAAACGACATTTAACAAATTTGGTTTATCTGGCGGTGGCCGTCTTTTTTGGTCTGTAGCCTCTCTCTGAACGACCCGCACTTTCTCGTGGATGTCCCTAGCTTCATCAAGGGCAGCGGCCATCTTTTGCAGGTATGGGGTGATGTTAGGCACATAATTTTCATTCTCAACGATAGTTCTTATATTCCTCGCAGAATCGGAAAGAGCACGCATTTCTTTACCGAAAGTAAGGTATGCTGGTGAAAACCCTGTACTGGTCACAGCAGGGTTCATAGCAAACATAATAGCAGCTAGATGTAAGTCCCAGGTAGAGTGGTCATTTCCTACAAGCATAGACAACTGATACTTAAGATCTCTATTTTTACACTCTACAAGGTTGACCTCAGTTTGATACATAGGTGTGAGCGCTTGGTATATCCCTCAAACATGACAAACCTGTTGCATCACCTCGCACATAAATTGCACGCCATTGTCGGTGATGAGCCGTCGAGTGACACCATATCGGCGGAACACCCAGGACCGGATTAACCATGTCGGGGCCCTTAGGCAGTGCGATTCTCGGGGCCACTTTCCAGCCAGTAGGAAGGGATGTGTCTAATAGCATCAGCAGCATCACCAGATTGATGCTTAACTCCTCACAAATTAATAGAAAAATATTTGTATTCGAACGTAGTGTGCGAGATTATTTATTTTCTTAATATGGGCCTGAAGACCATATTAACTATCACACATATTTGACGCATTATCGTAAGTCTTGCCTCGCATTTTAGTGTTATATTGATTTAAAAAAATTATAGCGGCCAATCCTTCCCCTTTGTGACTTTACTATTACTTTAGTACTACTACTTTACTATTGGAATAAATGTAAGAAAACGTTCTGCTACTTCTCCATTTGACGTAACGTATCTGACCAGTATGAGACATGTCTGGTGTCAAATTGACGCTTATTGAGAAATATTTTGCTTTAATAATTTCATTAATTCATTTTAAAACTTTACTTCCCAATATTTCAATAATATCTTCGCAAATCGTTGAAGACAAATATGACTGTCTTCCTTTCCCAACATTACCATATTTGACTAAATGCGAACTAGGAACGGATCGTACTTCGAGAGTTGTTGTAAAATTCCCAAATAGTTGTCATTATGTTGAGAACGAAGAATTTCATCATCATCACGAAATGCTAATCCACGGGATAACATAAATTTAATACCTGATACTAATTTTGGTAAAACTTTTATTAAATTTTCCTTTTCTTAAGTGAATGTCATTAACAAAGAGGCGTCAAGTTGGCTGTGAATACATCGTCTACTAATCAGTGGCTGCACACATTCTTGAATTCTTTGCGGCGCATTTTTCCAATAAGACAATCCAGTTTGAATTTGCGATTGGCTTTGATCTTCGCCCGAACACATGGAAAGCAGTATAATTTTCCAATAGATGGAGAATACATGAGCAACTCTCGTTTAAGTTTACAGCCACTTATGTTTCAGAAAAAACAAAGGTTGAGAAAAAAATATTTTACTGTCGTCATATTGTCGGCTTGGATCAGAAATATCATACTCAAAGTGTTGACATTCGGAAGGATCTCTAGTACACCAAAAATCTTGTACTTCGTTGCTAATATTTTGCCATAAGCCAATGTCACTCTGGTGTTCTACTCCTAGGTGGAATGGGTTTTAGTGTAGTAATTGGACCTCGGCCTCGGCCTCACTTTCCTCTATACCCGCTAAAGTAGCTGTTTCTTGATCCTGGTCAGTCTGTTCAGAACACTCGTGATTGGCGACTAAATCAGAGTTGGAAAAGGTTTTGTGTCTTCTTTAATAGTTCATCACGCTTGTTTTGTTGTTTAAGCCGCATTTTACGTTTTTCTTAACCACTTAGGTGTTTTTGTTTACGGGTTCCTCCGACATTTTGTTACACAAAGAAATGGTAAACAACCGTGTGAGTGAAATTCGACGCGAGAGAAATAGCAATAACTTCTGTAATACCTATCTACACAAGAAAAACATTGTCACCCTCGTCGTATAAAAAAATCTAGCACTCTTATCCTTTTTTCGTAAGTTTTGAAACACAGAGTACAGTAAAACTTTTTAAACTAAATTCACGATCACTCACAAATCGCTACGTAATGCATCCAACGAATCGGGGATTCCCCAAATGTGAATGAAGTCTAGTGCTCACTCAGGCGATCTCTCACGCGGCTGCGTTCCGAATTAATACTTTAAGTATAAAAATATCTAACACTAAAACTTTTTAAATTAAATTCATTCACGGTCGCAATACTCACAGAACACAAATACAGATCAAACATTTCAAAACTTTTGTATATCATACAATACGCTACATAACGCATCAATATTGTTAGTTACTACTACTCGATACTAGATGGTTCTGTTCTGCAAGTATGAAGTTGGTTAGTTAGGATGAGGGATAATAATAAGATTAAACTTAGGATAGTAAAAGAAGTAGATAAGTCTATGGTTAGTTCTGTAAGTATATTTCATCAACTGGCACCATGCGTCGCTAAAACGCAATAATATCTATCGTCCAATTAAATTTTCATTGTATGACACATTTTCCATTACTTTTATGCGGGCGCAGGGCCCCTAACCGATGCGGGGCCCTTAGCCAGTTGCCTACTCTGCCTGAAGGTTAATCCGGCCCTGAGAACACCTCATACACCAGTATCTGGGCACACTCTACGCTGGTGACATTCTCCAAGGGAAACAATTTCAAGCAGCTTGAACAAACATCCTCTACGACTAACACCCACCTGTTTTTCCTGGGTGTCTCTACCAGCGGACCAAATATGCCCACGGAGACAACTTTAAATCGCCTCGTTTGCACACAGCAGGGATTTGCAGTAGGCTTTTTTTATAGGATAGGGTGACAAACAAGCACACAGTCAGCCTGATGGTAAGTGGTTGCTGTGGCCCATAGACGTCTACATCTATCCTCGTTTGCGAATCAAAATGCAGACGCGTTGTCACCTGTGAGGACTAAGATGGAATGCCTCTTTTCCAGCAAAAAGGGTCTCCGGTTCTCTACACTCACCATACGAAATACATCAGTGTTGAGCTGCTATTTATGAACGTGCGCATACCTGGCCAACAATACTTAGCGCGAACACGGTTCAAAGTGCGTTCTACGCTTAAGTGGCCAGCCGTATGCGCGTCGTGAAGTTCTGTCATCACTTGCCTGCGTTCGTGTTGGGATAATAACAATGCAGTATTCTTCTTCATCGTCTGACTCTAAGCCATGTCTATAGAGTATACGATCGGAGATAATGTACCCACGATCGGACCATGCCCACCCCCTAGAGGGTTTGTCAGATTCCATGTCCTCAATGATTTTGCGAATCTCTGGATCCAACAGTTGATTGCTGCGGATATCACTACTGCACCTTTTTGGCAAGTGGACGACTGTCATACATAGTTCGCACTCACCTTGATTCTCGACACAAACTGGCCGCGAAAACGTATCTGCAGCCACGTTGGATTGTCCTGGTGTGTATTGAATGTTGAGGTCAAACTTATGCAATAAAAAATACCTCTGACTCATCAGTCATCGCAAAGGCTGGTGGTCCATCCTAACAGTTACCTTCGAAGTCTCTACATAACCGCGGAACTTGCTCAGCGCCCACACGACGGCGAGTGCCTCTCGCTCTGTCGAGGAATAATTCTTCTCTGCACCGGCGAGAAGACGGCTGGCGTACCCAATCGGCCTCTAACCGTGTCCCTACCCCTGCATCAAATCTGCCCCAAGACAGCAAGCGCTGCTGTCAGTGTAGAACACGAATGGTTTCGACTCATCTGCCTGACGCAAAATAGGAGCGGATACGAGGAGTTGCTTTATCCGTTCAAACGCCTCCTATTGCTCGGCATCCCATCGCCAGGTACATGATGTCTTCAGGAGTATCGTATGGGGTCTCGCAATCTCAGCATAATTATTAATAAAGCGGC